ACAAATTTTTTTGTTGTTTATCATGTCTCCACAAATATATTGAATAATTTATTTTATTAATTAAAGCCAAAATTATACGTTTATGAACATTAAATTATACCAAAACTTTTTGTGTCAATTAATTTTCATAATGCATTCAAACCATATTTATATTATAAATAATTATTTCCATAGTTTTCATTTTATTGAATAAATACAGAATATTCTGTTTATTATTAAATATTCCATAAATTGAAACATTCATTAATCATAGATAAAAATAAAATAGATTTCAATGAAAGAAAAAGATTTTTGAAAAGATTTTGTTTTCGCCAAAAATTTTTATTCTTATGTGAAAAATATGCAAAAATGAAATTTAGACTTTTAATAGCCGTATGAATGCTCTATACGTTCATTTGGTTATTGAATTACACTATACAGTAGAAAGTGCTTCATTGTAATGAGATTTACTATAATGTATTTATGGATAACTTTGTTATAAGTTAACTTACTGTCTAAATGTTAAAGGTCGACAAACTTTAAAATAATTATTTTAATTATGAAAACTTGTATTAAAGAGAGAGAGAGAGAGAGAGAGAGAGAGAGAGAGACTTTATATACACCATATTAAATGATTAATAATATAATGGCCATAATATCTCTTTTCGGAGACTATTAAGAATTATATGTTTTATACACATATTGTATTTAATATAGCAGTACACAAAACTTAGTGAACAAATATTATGAGTGAAACATTAAATATTAGTCGAGAAAACTTCAATTAGATACACTCTTAAAGCTAATTACAGTATGAAAATCATTATAACTAATTAATGGAAAATAGGATTTTTTAGCGATTCGTATAAATCTGAGAATATTTCATATATTATATAATTAATTACACTTTAGGTCATAAAATCTGTGTGTGTTTTATATACACAGTTATGTTTGTTTCAAAAACACAGTGTATGTAATGACTCGTACTCTCTCTCTCCCTCTCCATTCCCATTGAATTCTCTATAAAAACGCGAATTATTTTATAAGAGAAATATATTTCGCTCACGACTTGCCGTGAAGGGAGAGATTGCAAAACATGTATATATTTCCGTTCAGAATATTCTTGTCAATCATTGCTTTTTATAATTACATTCTCTATGTGAATGTACTACTACTGTAGATTAGGCTTGCTGATTAATGTTTATGAATTTACTGTGTTAAACTTGTGATTTAAACATTGTATTTGGTGAAATTATTAATGCATTACATTTATTTTTTTTATGAATTATTTTATTTTATAAAACTTTAAAAGCTAGTAATATAAACTGTAAATATTAAATGACAATTAATGAATAAGATAATAATTTATTAAGATATTGTTAAACTTGGGGTATCACATACTGGTATATATTATAATAATTATAATAATATATTCTTTTTAACATTTTACAAGATATTATACAAGGTTCATTTTAATTTATTTTATTATATTCCATTAGTGTACAAATAAAAATGAATTTACGAGCAAAACCTTATTAAATCTTAACATGTATTAACCAAGCGTGAATAACTTAGATATCGAGACACTTAACGGGTATAACTAATGTATAACCATGGTTGTTTTCACAGGCACACCACGTCCATCCCTGAGCTGGTGGAGAGATTATGCCATTATTGATGACACGTTTGAATTTGATGACAGAGAAGGTATGAGACAAATGCCAAAAATATGACATTTTATTTG